CTGTGGGGGGAGTGTGGATGTTTTCTGGAACAACCCAATGAAATTCAAGCCCTGCCCTGATCAGGGCACAGTGCCACTTATAAAGGGTCCACACTGGGAAGTAGGCCACTTTAGCCAGAGATCTCCTGCGGCAGGCTAGCTATTTTGAATTACTAATAAATTTCTGCTATTGCGGCAGTTCTCCTGTGGCAGCTTGTTCGTGCTTTCCGCCCAGGTAAAGGGTTAACCAATCTATGAACGATCTGTGCCAGCGTAGGTATTGACAATAACCAATCTGTGACCTGATATTTTAGAACTATTTCTCCACATGTGTTACATATATATTATACAAACACTACAGCTTAGGTCATCAACCGGGGGGGGGGCATAAAATCAATAACCTATTGATATTAACTATATAAATAACTAAATAAATATATAAATACGCAGATAAACAACTAGAGAATAATGCATACCGCACAGTTGTTGGTCTCACAAGTTCTCCAAATATTCTTGCACGAAGAACGGCCATTTTTCGGGCATAATTTGTGCTCATTTTGAACAAAACGTTTCCACAAACTTTGTGAATATTCCAAACCTATTACGTGTTTCCACTATAAAGCTCAGTGATTTCCACAACAAAATTTCAAAACTCTTCACAACTTCACAACCCATAAATTTCCTGCAAAAATGTTTTTGAATTTTTTTTTCCCATAACTCTAATTTTTTTTCTTATTTATTTAAATGAATTCATTTTACGAAGTGAATAATCACACTGTTTCCACAAAAAATCAATCAATCCCGAATTCTCTCTTTCCCAAACCACGGTTTATAGCCTAATAGCCCAAACTGAACCGGTAATCAATTTTTGGTCAAATTGGTATCATGAAAACTGCGCAATAAAGCTTAATATATGAAAATTGTGTAATTAAGCTTTTAATTATTTTTAATAATTAAAAGCTTAATTAATCAATAATACTCAACTTTATTGCTCCTATATATACCACTGTATTCCTCTGTGTCCCATATCAACCTCTGCATTCCCCCACCGGTCTTGAAGTTGAAACTTCGCGAAAATAGTCAAAATGCCAAGAATATTTCAGTTTATGAAAACTCATGAATAAACCAACACTTCATGCACGTTACAATTCAAAATTTTTCCCTCCACTAAACTGAACAATCAAATGGCGTTGGGAAAACGCATTCCTAAAGTTTTTCCTATAATAAAGTGGCTCGCAACAAAACACTTCCGGAGAGTTCGGAAATAAACATTCGATCGTTTGCCGGTGAGAAATTCGTAGTAGCTCGTTGTTTTGATACGAGAATAATCGATTTTATCACGATGTAATTTGGGGATATGAAAGATACAAGTGCTTACTAAACTGTCATGAAAGATACCTAACTTTTAATCGTTTGTTGAGGGTTTTGTATTGGTTCTAAATGCTGAATTCAAGTCGTATAAAACCTTTCGTCAAAGCGAGCGTTCCAACTCATAAAATTTGCAACTATTTGGGGTATTCTTTTATTCTAAAATGGAAGACAACGGTGAGATTTTAAGCGCTAGTCACGAAGACGGATTACAAGCAAGGAGTAATTCGTTTAACGAGCTTCTTTATCGACTTGAGCAACAAAACAGGTAATCTTTTATAAGTATATTGAAACTATATCGCAATAATCGCATCATATTTATTATGTATGACCAGTGTAAATAAATGTAAACAACTAAATTCCAAGTAGCTAGTAATAGTAATAGAATATGAATTTATTGACTCATAATCATATAATAATTTACAGCGAGTGGGTTTTCCCTCGGTTTGCCCCCAGCAACAAAAAATGTGGTTTACATCACAATTAATAAACTTTAATCAAGTTTTAAAAACTTTTGCCAGCATGTAATAAATTAAACAATTTGTTTCAGCTATAAAGGACAGGTTATCAATAAGACTTTTATATGTTTAATATTCCTTTATTTATAAATCAGTTCCAAGCTTAAGAGGGGTTAAGAGGTGACTTTTGCCGCACTTCTTTGGGAACAAAAGACAAAGACTCATTATATATTTATTGCGAAGGGAAAGCCGATGTCAAAGTGGCATATCCGGGGCAATATCAAATATAATTTTTTCGTCTTCGTTCAAATTCGTTTGCTTTCAAGTGTTTCGGCGAGGGACTTGAAGAAGTAGTTTATTTTGTTGCATAAGAATCCAACTGAGTTTAAATATTGTTTTTGAAAGGCGGCATGTGATTTTATCATTGTTGTTCATCTGTTGTGTTGAAATTTGTGTCAAATATCGGGGGTAATCAGGTTACAATGTTATCAAATCTCTGAAGTACGCTAAAAGTTTCCTGTGTGGCTATTTGGCGAGAGAGCGAAGAGTAAAGAGAAGCGAATACCATTTAAATTGTTCAAAATTGCTTGGTTTGGGGGTATGCAACAATGGTTGTATGGAAAGAGGTATTTCTAGTATTACAGTGAAGTCTAGAGTATTCTACTATTCTGACTATTCCCTTTTATATAGTGAGAAACTATTTATAAGGATTATACATTCTGATGTCTGCCATGTGTGTTTAGTCTAGTTAAATCCTTCTGTGTTTAGGTTAATGGTATGTCTGTTTACTGTGAGTACAAGTGATTAATGAAATAATTGTGTCCTAATACTAATAGTAAACTAAAATATATCAAGAAAATATATGAAAATTTTTGACCACAATAGATCACATACAAATGTCTGTTGCATATTGATCCCCCAAAATATAAAACCTGATGATTGAATGTGTTAAAGCTATTCTTGAAACTATAAACTTGACAATAAATACCACAAATATTGACTGGCAACATGCAATATAATGTTTCTGCATTTGATCACTGTGATGTGATTCTCTTAAATTACACACTGACTGATGGCTGTTAATATTTTGTCCAAACTATATATGGCTAATGGTACTAGAACCCCACAGGGTGACTGGGAGTGTCCCCAGTACTAGAGGCCATATATAGCGCGATACTTGTCCCACACCCATATGATTGAGTTATGGCACAGTACGTGTGCGTCTTTCACTTCAGGAATATGGGTAAATTTTGACATGAGAGTCAGCCATTAGCCATTTCCAAGCAAAACACTGATATGGCTCAGTGTACTGACTGCTCTTGATGGATATATGGCTGACCATTCCACCGTAGAAACCCGAACAAATGCCCCCTCGTTCTCTAAAAAATAAAACGAAAGGATGATGTTTTTTGCAAATCAATGTGTAGTCACTAATGAATGCTTGATTAAATGTGCTGTACTGTACAAGGACAATCCCATGGCAATTGATTTTATAATGTTTTGTAATATTTTTTATGTTTTTTTTTTAATGCTTTAACACAATGATAAACTTAACCCATTAAGTTGTAGTGCCCTACTCTATTATTTTACTCAAACAATTTTACTCTTGAAGGTGAAAGCATTGGCACTCAATGTCCAATGAGATAATCAGATCATGTGTCTATTGAGAGTTGCCTGGAAATCTGGTTTCTGAGACATTGAATGTCAAACTCTCTCTAAATTGCAACCTTCCCCCCAGAAGGGTTCAAATATAGTCACGGTACTGAACTTTTGAATAAATAAAGCAATATATGATAATGATCACTATACTAAGAACAGATTCATTTTAGGAGCAGAAAGTATAGTAGAGTAGGTCTTAATTTAAGTGTTGATGTACATTCTATATTAGAATATTACACAACTGCCCAGAGATAACCCATGACCTTTGGCACAGCATCTGCTGACTCCATCAAGATCAGAAGTTTTTGTGTGCCAGCATAGTATGCCTTCACTGGTACTGTGCAAGGGTGGGTAGTAGCAAAGTAGTTGTAGTTTGCTACTACAATTTTGAAGTAGCCAGTAGTTTTTGACTACTTTTTTAAAACAGTAGTTGTAGCGAACTACATTTTGCCTAAAAGCAGCCAAATAGTCGACTACTTTTCAAACAGTGAATTGCTATTCGCTACTTTTTAAAATTGTTAGCAACTGTTCATAGAATAGAATGATTATAAGACACGGTTTGCTTAAAAGATTATTTTATACAGTAAAGATTATTTTAGCGCAATGAAAAGTGGCACTCCTGAAGACTGTAGTGCTTATAAAAATGTTGCTTTGAGCCTTTTTGTTTACTGTTGCTACTCGTAAGTCGATTTGTTATAGGTTATATTACAGCCTGAGCTAGTGGATGCTCCAAATACCGTAAAACTAAAAAATATAGAGTAGCGAAATAGTGAAATAGTTCGCTACATTTTTTAAGCAGTAGTTGTAGTCAGTAGCGAACTACCTTTGTTCAAAAGTAGCAGTAGTTGTAGCTCAACTACCTATTTTTGAAGCAGCTGTAGTAAAGCGAACTACAAAAATTTTGTAGTCAACCCACCCTTGGTACTGTGTCTGTTTTAGACCCTTAACCTGCTTCAATATTTTTTTAACCCTTTGAGTGCCAGCGTTCTCTCCTTGATGAGTAAAATTGTCTAGCGTCCTCCACAGGCCTCTCTATGGGTTTTAGCCTGCGAATGGGTTTTGAAAACAAATTTCCACCCTAATTTCCTCGGGAGATGCCGCAGGGGGCTAAAAATTGTCTGGCATTAGACAGAGTAAAATAATCTGCCATCAGACAGTGTAAAACAATAAAGTAGGGTGCATTGATTTGAGGCGCACTGGGTTAAAATAGAGTCACTTTAAGAGTGGCATGAGATGTAGCTAAATTATATTTTGGTCACTAGGCGACTTGAGAATGATGATAAAGCGATGTTGGAATTATCGCCTGGAAAGAATAACAACAACAATGACACAAAGCTTCCCTCAGAGTCTGCCGAAAGTACAGACTCTGATATATCATCTGTTGATGGCCTTGCTGATGGCCTTGATACGGCCGATGACTTTGACTATGCCTCGTTCCAAGTGTGGGGTGAGATTATCAGAGATTGGGAGGAAAATATGAAACGAAGGCCAAAGTTTATACGGGACTTGACACACAAGGGAATTCCTGAGAAAATGAGGTGCATTATGTGGCAATATTTTACTGGGGCATGGGAGTCATCACTTGTTGGCAAATATGCTGATCTTATCCAGGTGAGTGATGCTTTAGTACACAAACTGTCATTTGTGATAACACAATGAGAGGCTTCCCTTCCCCTGTGTCAAGATAGCACAAAGACTGTCAATGCACCTTTACGGCAATATTAACGTCACAAAGAGCCTAGCTTGTTCTCCTTAGGCCTCATTTACACTATGATGATAACAGCAAATTTACCGTAGCGTAGTGATTTGCATCTGGAGTGCCGAACGTAAGTGGTCCGTAGTTGGGATGCTATGGCAAACGACTCTGTTATAATGTAAACACAATATGGTCTCAATACTAAGACAGGAGGCAATTGGTTCATCATTAATATCGCATTTACACTAATAACGCTATGGCTAACATTCTGTTAAAAATTTACTACGTTTCTGATTCATGAGTGTGAGGCTCCCACTGGCTAAGAAAGTATTAATGGCATACAGTAATTATAGAACAGGTATCTCACAGTTATGGTTATAATACAAAAGCAGATTTAGCATTCTGTATTTTGTTCTGACTCTAAGGTTTGCTTTCATGTTCAAAGAGGTGTTCAATTATTGTCACTCATGTTGTAATGTTTAACCTACAGTAAAAGCCACAGTGTTCCCTTATGTACCCTCTACCCATGTTCCTTTTGTTATGCCCCTTAAACACCCCACCCCCTAGCTTTCATTCTAATAACCCCCTCTCAGATGGGGTCCCTCCCAAATGTACATGAAAAACAAAGCCCTGGGGGATTAATAGAGGTTCACAATAATGTTTTTATTTCAGCAACAATCTGCATGTGAAAGAGTGATAAAACGTGATATAGCCAGAACATTTCCAGAACATCCATATTTTCAACAAGAGGATGGCCAGGGACAGCAAGGATTGTATAATGTTATCAAGGTACAAGTCAGAACAATTCACCACAATAATAATACACTATAATATTCATAATTGTGGTTGCAAGGGTAATAAATAGTAATAAATATGAAAGTAATAAATATAAAGTGCATTATAAAATCTTCAATATTTAACAACTTTGACAAAAATTCCTCTCACGAAACATGGAAATGCTCTGCCCCC